TTGAAAATAACTATTCCACAAAAGGATAGCCAAGTTGCTCAGGTAGTATAGCAGTTGTCTAAAGCAAGTACAGACCCTTGAGTTCAAACTCCAGAGAAGAGAATGTTTAACAGATTCAACTATAAATAAATTCTAACATTTATGAAATGAAAAATACCATGTGATTTTTTTAAAAGGAAATGAAGTATAAAAGGGTTCATGTTATACAAGTTTCCCCCAAGTAAAGAAACAATCAACATGAATAGATAAATCACAAATTCAAACTACAATTTGCAAATATATAACATTAAGGTTAATTTAGAAAGAAACCCAAAAGGGCCAACATTATGCTGAAAGTTTATAGAATTTGTATCAGTCATGGGTCTTCAAAATGATGCCTTACTAGACAGATTATAATGAAATTGGGATACATTTGAAAGAGAGGTATAAGTTGGTTTAAACTTTCTAGAAGTATTCAAGCTGTAGAACTAAGAGCTCATAATTGTCAACCAAGCCACTACACTTTTAGGAAATAAGACTGAAAAATAAATAATAGAAAAAAGAAGATTATGTATTTCAGTTTCCTCACACATAAAATAATTCCCTTCCTTTCATAGTTGTGGTAAGGATCGAAAGATGATTAATGAGTGAAGAATATGAGTTCTATAAAGCAATATGCAAACAACAAAGGTTTTCATTTTAAATCTATTTGTAATAGTGAAAATCTGGAACTAAAGTTCTAGTAATAAACTATGTTACATTCACCTGAGACAATACAAATGCTTGTGTATATTTATATAGCAATGGTGAAGAAAAATACTTAAAATATATTAATAAAGCCAGACACTGGTGGCTCATGCCTATAATGCTAGCTACACATGAGGCTGAGATCTAAGGATCATGGTTTAAAGTCAGCCCAAGCAGGAAAGTCCATGAGACTCTTATCTTCAATTACCCACCAAAACCAGAAGTAGAGAATGCTAGCCTTGAGCAAAAATGATAAAGGGCAGCACCCGGGCTCTGAGTTCAAGTCCCAGTATTGGCATCAAATATATATATATGTGTGTGTGTGTGTGTGTGTGTGTGTGTGTGTGTGTCTGTGTGTGTATATATATATATATGTATACACACACAGACACACACACACACACACACGTAATAATGAAAAGGCAAATTTGAAAGTTCTATCTGAGCACACAGATGTGACTATATATTATATATGACCTATTGGGAATATGTACATGATCAAGACAAGAAAACTATTGACCTGGTAAGATAAGAATCTTTCATCTTGGCTGGGTGCTAGTAGCTTATGCCTCTAATTTTAGCTACTCAGGAGGATAGGCTCTAAAGATCACAGTTAAAATCAGCTCAGGCACAAAAGTCCATGAGATTTTAATCTTCAATTAACCAGCAAAAAGCTGGAACAGGAGGTGGGACTCAAGTGGTAGTGCACCAGCTTTGAGCAAAACAGCCAAGTGAGAACACTAAGCCCTAAGTTCAAGCCTCAGAACAACAACAACAACAAAAAAAAAAACCATCTCTGTTTATTCAATGTAGGGAAGAACTGGCATTGGGACATAGCTGTCTCTTTTTCAATGGCACAAGTTTCCTTTGTGGCTTCAGTATACATTGTAATACTTACATTTATATTATTAATTGATTGCTGTCTGTCTCCTTCTACTGAAAAGAGGAACCCCATAAGTCAGCCCTCTTCATTTTTATGCCCACTACCTCTAGACACTAGGTGAATGTTGGGCGCATTGTAGGCATTCCATAAGTATTTCTTGACTTAAGCAGTTCTATCATAGTTGTATACTCTATACCATCTGTTGACTATAGGTCCATAGTTCTTTCAGTATAGTTATGGTAAAGTCTTTGATAGGCCCCTTCAAGAACACTAATGACAGTTATCTGACCTTGGGATGACACCTCTTGCTTATGGATGTTGATTTGCTACCATCTCTAACCCATGAGTTGATGGGCCATGATATTTTTAAGTTTCACTCACTGATATCAGAAGAGTTCTTGTATCCTAGCTCTTTCCTCTTTCATGTCAACAGCATCTGCTTACAAAGTCTTGCCCTCTAAGAAACTAAAAATCACTCCCACTCTTGATTTCCAAAAATGAACCAGCTGAAGCAAATGAGGTGCAACTGTTGGTCTCTATCTGTCATTGGTGATGAGGCCCTTCCAAAAATAGTCACTGCTCCTGGTGATCTTCAGCCAGCTGCAGAAGTGATGACAGAACCCTCAACTCTGGGTGACAAACAAGCAATCAGGACAATAACAACAACCATTTACTTCATGCCAAGCACTGACCATAGCTTAGGGATCAAGAGCAGAAGGGAATAAGGAGAGTAATAGAGGCTGTGAGGTTGATTGGGATACATTTATACATGTGTGGAAATGTCACAATGAAACCTACCTTGCATAACTAATGTAGGGTAATAATTTTTTTTTTCAGAGGAGTATAAGCTTTAGAGACAGACTGATCTGGGCAGAGTCATACTGTGCTTTGTACCAATCCTGACCTTGACCTTGGCTATTCAATGCCCTGCTCTCCCCCCCCACACACCCCCACCCCAGGACTCATTTAATTTACTGTAAAACGAGGATAATAGATCCTACTCATAGGACTATTTACAAAATGAAGCAATATACGGGAAAGGATTTCAACAGCGTCTATGCCAAGTTACACACAGCAGGTCATTGACTTCTCCTCATCTCCTTCTCCAGATACCACAATTTACCCTCCCCATTACAAATAGGGAAACTGAGGATTTAAGTAATTCCAGGGGTACCCCCAAATATCCCAGGCTCTTTTATGCCTTTGTAGCAATGAGGATAAAGTTCTTTCTACATTGGCTGTGTTCACATGAGCCACAGCCACTAAGCCTCCACCACCAGTTCAAGGGACCCTCGACCCTCAAGCCTTCCTTGATACCACTGAGATCAATGTAATTTCCCAGTGCCTGTTCTAGCCCCCGCCTTACTATTCGACATTTATCTGATTACAGATCTGTCTCAACTCTACTGAGACCTTGCTGGTCCCCTGCATCTAGCCAAGTTCTGACTCATAGCTAGAAAATGCTCAGTTATTTTTTTAATGAAAGAACGAAGCAAGCTCTGACAATGTCCTTCTCCCTCCTCACTTCAGTTGCTAAATCCCTTGCACCTATCCATTAGAGTGGCTAGAATCCCCTTTATGGCTCAACCAAGGGGATATTCCCTTGATCTTTTGGATACACTGAATGTCAGGGAAATTATCACCTTCCTCGATCATTCATAGCAGGGCAAGCAGCTGTGCCTCTTAGAAAGAACTTAAATTGTAAGAAGATCAACTTTTCTGTAAAAGTAAACCCAGTGGTTTAAGCTCTGCTGTCTGAAACCACATAGATTCAGATTGGAAGCTAATAACACACAACACATGCCACACTCAGGCTCAGTGTTAAGAACCCTATGTGGATCTGTTCATTTTTGCAGCAACCCTGCGCTCCACTCTTATTGTAATTATCTTCCCCATCACCTAGATATCCTCTTCATTCTTTGACTATGTTAGTCCCTTACTCGCTGTAATTTTCTCCCACCCACCACTGTTTTGTCATGGCCTTTAATGATACCCATCTTCACTTACAGGATATTCTATGTGCCTTAGCCTCAGAGCTCTACTGATTGTGGTCTTAGTCATTCATGTTCAGGGCCATCGCTCTAATTTTGTTATTTCCAAAACATAATCATTTTCCATCATCTCGATTTCAGACACCCCTCTCCAGTCACCACTCTTGTCTTTGGAACTTACTCCATTTAGTGTCTCAACTCCAACAGTTTTCCCTGGCTGTCCCTCCCTTCCCTCAAGTCTTCCCTTCCCTTTATACCCAACTGAAATTCTGTGATCAATCATTAACACGACTCCCTTGCCCCTTTTTCATTAAATCCAGGAGGCAAAAATCCAATCACCATTAAGTTAACTGTGTTTTACTCCACTCCTGTGCTATGCAATGAAAATTGGCTGACCTAGAATAGCCAAAACAATTCTAGGAAAAAAAGACAACATGGGAGGGATCTCGATGCCGAACTTCAAACTCTACTATAGAACCATAATAACAAAGACAGCATGGTACTGGCACAAAAACAGACCTGAAGACCAATAGAATAGAATAGAAGATCCAGAAATAAAACCACATGCCTACAGTCAGCTGATATTTGACAAAGGAGCCAAAGACATACAGTGGAAGAAACACAGCCTCTTCAACCACTGGTGCTGGGAAAACTGGGCAGCCACATGCAGAAGACTAAAAGTGGACCCCAGCTTATCACCACGCACCAACATCAACTCAAAATGGATTAAAGACCTTAACATTAAACCTGAATCTCTGAAACTACTGCAGGACAGAGTAGGAGAGACACTTGAACTA